ATTCAGGTAAAACATATTATAATATTTTCAAGTTTCACGTAACTTTATTAAGTAATCTATAATACTTCGTAAAATTTATATTTATTTTAACAATCTCGAGCAGAGATGCCATGGAATATGCAGCGGAATCACGAAATCCTGAAGTCGCTGAAGAATTACTAGAATGGTTTTTGGAAAGGGGATCAAAAGATTGTTTTGCGGCTTGCCTATTTCATTGTTACGATTTACTACACCCAGATGTCATTTTAGAACTTGCATGGAGAAATCGCATTTTACATTTCGCCATGCCATATCTGATTCAAGTTGCACGAGAATATATAAGTAAGGTAAGGATTTTCACAATAAACTTCTTAAGCTATTTTGTAGCTGTACCGTATACATAATTCATGTCTAGATTACGAGTGTTTGTGAAAATTTACATTTTTTTAAAGAATGTTCTATTGAAACTGGAATTACATATACAGCTACTTCAATCTTCGCGTTTTAATAAATTTTGTTTAAAAAATAATTATTCTAATATTATAAGAATGTTAAAACTTCAAAATTATATATGTATAAATAATTGTGAACACTTTTATATATCAGCTTTTTTTGTTAGGTTTAAGTATATCATTCATTGTACACTATTTGTATGTCTCTGTTTTTATAGGTCGATAAATTAGAAGAAGCTGAAAGTCGACGCATTGAAGAAACTGATCATCAAGAACATAAGCCTATGATTATGCGTATGTATTTGTTTTATTTACCTATATATTACAAGTGTTATTAGATAATATTAGATCGTGTAATATGAAATGTCGAATTTTTCTTACTCATAAATGTTTATATTTCTATTGTTGTCATTCCTTTGTTTTTCATGTCATTTTTTAAACAGTTTCATGGTCGATTATCAGTATCATAACTCTTTGCAAGAAAATTTTTCCGAATTGTGCATAATAACTATTTCTTGCATCGTTGTTTGAAAACATGGATACCACCAATATTCGTGTAATTTTCTTATAAGAATTCCAACTTGGAAATAATGCTGCAAAAGCTGCTCAAAATATAAACAAAGCATTTGGGGACAATATTATGAATGAAAGAATAGTACAGCGTTGATTTGTAACATTTCGTTTCAATGATGTTTCTTTGCAAAAGGAACTGTATGATAAACCTGAAACAGTAATTTATAACTAATAAGTATTTGATTGAATATACCTCTTTTAAAATATTAAATAGGATTTTCTTTTTCCAACAAAATCCGACATTTCATATTACACGACCTAATACAAAAAAATTAAATATATTATATTTTAATAAGTTTAAAATTGAAGAATGATAATGTTGTGCTTATTGTATGATTATAGCGGAACCACAGTTGATGCTGACAGCAGGACCAGGTATGATAGCATCTGGGTATGCACCACAAGGTGTATATGGTGCACCTCCTCAAAATGTTTATGCACCTGCTGCTACTGCTGCAGCGTACCAAGGTTATGGTATGTGAAATACAATGTGCAACGGATTAAATAACACAGATCAACAGAATCTACTTTTCTATAATATATAGGTAGAACAAGATTATTTCAATAGTTCATAATTATCATTATTAAATGCTGCAACAAATATCATTAAAAAGAAAGCATTGCCGTGAAACGATTGTAATATAATAAAAATAATAAATTCAAAATAAACTACAAAATATTTAAGCGCGAATTCCTAGTTTATGAATAACGTTTATAAAACGAATGATTTACTGTTAAAATAATCAGAGTACACATGGGTCATTGTTTGTTATGACGAAACATAAAAATCATTTAAAAAAATATATTTAAAAAATGTTCAAATACACATCATGTACGGACCTTTAAGCCAATATGCAATAGTTCATTTTAGCAATTCATATTATACTGAAAATTTTTGTCAAATTGAATTTAGATATTTAATCTTACTTTGTAAAACAGTCATGACAATTTTGCAGGTTTATCAATGCTTGTGTACGTATGTGCCTTTGTTTAAGTATTGAAAAAGTTTTAGTTTAGGATAAAATAAAGTTAATGGTCTTGGAAGTACATGTAAGTGTCACTTGAATAAGAAGAAATTATAAAGTGCTTCCTTTTTGGTAAAAAGAAGCGAAAGAAAGAAATTTGGCTAATTATGTGTAAATGACCATTAAAAAAACGTAGATACTCGAAGTTGAAGTTTGTTTGTGTCCATTTATGGAACAAAATTATGAATATATTATTCTACATGAGTTTTAGTAAAAAAAGGAATCTATTTATCTAGATTCATTAAAAAGTTGTTGTCACAGTCAAATGTATGAGCCTCGAAATACTTAGCAAAATAAATGAAAACATGTGGCATATATCAGTACATCAGTATAACAGTAAGGGAAAAACGAAGCTGTACGTAATGTATTTAGAAACTTTAATATAGAAAGATATAAAAATACGTTTGTATGTCCATCAGTGTATAAGTTTAGTATCTGTGTGTGTGTTGCTGTGGCATGGATAAATAAAAATTTAGTATTTGACTTGACAGCCAAAATGTGAAATATAGAATAGTAACATTGTTATATGCTGTGCTAAACAAGAGTAATAACGAAAATAGCTCTATCATATACTCTCACTAAACAGGAAACGTATGTAATCTACTGAAAATAAACAAACTTTTCAATAATTTCGTCATATTGATGTATCGATATATGTACTGAGACTTGTTTATGCTGGCTTATAACATTATCGTCTTATTTTCTTTTTTACACAGTAAATTAAAACGTATTACACCTGTAAAAAAAAGTTCGAAGGTGTTAAGATTTATGAACTAATTGTAATTTTGTTTACTTTGTTAACGTGTTCAGTCTTTAGAAATGTAATTTGAAATTTTTTTTACTTATTGTATTTGGTTTATACGATGTATGTATAGTATCCTATTCAGATGTATTGTTCGTTATATCATTGTATTAATGTATAATGAAATTATAATACAAGTATTAATACAAGTTGAAAGGTCAGATTCCAATGCATATGTAGAACATGACAGAATCGTATTGTTGACGTTTCTGATCGTTAAATAATTTACATTATCTATATAAAGTGCTCTACTAACAAATCAGGATCAATGTACAAGATATGTTGGAAAAATGGAATCTCTTTTTCTAGCGCATCTTACATTTAATGTTCCTAACAGAGCCATCTCATTGCGTAAGACATTTTGAGTAACAGTTTCTTGTGTCATACATCTCAAAATAAATGAGAATTATGCACTTAATAAATTGTTCTCGTTACTCATAAATATGAAACGAAAGTTGAAAATTAAAGATCCATATTATGATAATATTAATGTAACAGTGCATTTTCAATAGTAATTGAGTTTGAATTTGCTAGTAATTGAGTTATTCTAATAAGACAACGGATGTTTATGCAAATGTATATTTTTATAGAATATAATTACAAATCAGGACTTGGCCAAGAATTTCTGTTATTGTATTTTTTTAAGAATATTATGAATACGTATTTTGTTTGGCACAAATGCATATCTTGCATATAAATTCATAGATTTTGCATATTCATGTGTGTACTAATATATGTATGCATATATATTTACATGTACATTGCAAGTATTTATACTCAATTTGTAGATACATTCATATATTTTACACATTTTATAAAAAAAATGTACAAATAAGTAATGTATAACTTTTTGTTTAATTCGGTTAATATGCAGATAACTATGAATTACTTTAGATTTTAACAAATGAAAAAAAGATGTAAAACATTAGAAATATGTAGAATTAATTTCAGTATGAATACATCGGAATATGCAAAATATATTGGCATATACAGTATAAAGTATTCTATTTAATACATATGTCGCCTGTTCTAATATATTTTGTATATTTTCATTTATTCTATATATACAAACGTATTCTGCATATGTTGTCTTTTGCATTTTCGAGTGACTAATGTACGTTTCATGTATATCGTTGTATTATATTCTACATATGCATGTTACCTATTTTTACAATTTCTGTTAATTTTCTATCAATCTTGAATGTGTTTATTCAGTTTTGAATTTTGACGTACAAAAGATCAATTCATGGTCACGCAAGTGATTTCCATAAACATCTGCCAAATTTTCATCTTTACAATTAAGAACTAAGTATACATTATGGAAGAAGATATATGTATATTCAGAAATCCAATCTTATTTTGCATATAAATCCATATATCTTATAAAATATTCACAATGGTTCTACACTCTCTGCATAAGTGTGTATATTATACTTGTAAAAACATCCGGAGTCTATCAATTACACTTGAATAATATCTGTTACAATAATCGTATTGGCTATTACGAAGCACTTTCGTTTGGCATCTATTAAATGCAGTAATTTTAGCTGAACGTATAAAACGAAAATGTTAAAATTAGATAACGCAGACGAGAATCTGTAACATTCCTAATAATCACTTCATCTTCATTGAAATTATATAATGGATAAAATTGTAGATTGAAAAGTGTATTTAATGCTGTTCCAAAAAAAATAGTAATGTAATTGTATTATTGTTTGGATATTATGAATTATAATAAAACATTAGCAAATTTGGAAAGAAAAGTATAAAAACTAGTTGTTAATTATATGTACATACATTATTTATGTACATATATATATATATATATGTACGTATGTGTGTGT